TGGAACAATTTGATATTCAACCTCGAAAAAAAATAGAAATTATTGGAGATTCATTGTGTTGTGGTTATGGAATGTTTCCTCTTCCACAATGTGATAATGTTCCTCTTCAATCTGACTCTTCAGAGGCATGGTGTTCTCAGATTGCAAGAAAATTGAATTTAGAAAGTCACATGATTGCATGGAGTGGTATTGGAGTAGTAAGAAATTGTGATGAGGTTGAGTTTCCAAATGAAAAAAAGAATATTGAAAAACTTTGGAGAAGAAGAAATGCTGGAGAAAATAAATCTAAGTGGGATTTTAATGAATGGATTCCAGATTATGTTATGATCAATATTGGAAGTAATGATTTTTGGGATGTTGGAGCATCCAATCCAACAAGAAATGATATTCCAACAGCTTTTGTTCAAAAAGAAGAAGAAATAATTCAAGAGATAAGAGAAAAAGAGTCTTTACAAGCTTGTTTATCTTCAGACTCAAGTCCAAATGAATTTTCAAAGAGTGATACTGAAATAGAAGAAGAAATAAATAAAAATAAAACAAAAAAAGAGAAATTAGTATCACCGTCCAAATTAGGTAGAGTTGTTTCACCACATGAAGCAGAAGAAATTCAAAATATTCTTGTTGAAAATAAAGAAAAAGAAAACCACATAATTAAAAGATTATTACAAGAATGGAATGAAAGTCATGAACAAAAACAAACAATTTTAGATGATTTTATTGATAATGATGAGAGTGAATTAGATGAAGTATTTGAACAACATTGTGAAGAATTTGTTAACCACATATTATCAACTTATAAAGAAGCTAAAGTTATTATTGTAATTGGTCCTCTTCTTGCTAGAGAAGGGGAAATCGCTTGGAAAACCGCATTAAAGGCATTACAACAAAAAGAACCAGGAAGAGTTTTTGAAGTTAATTGTCAATTATGTTATGATGAAAAGAAAAAAGAGTGTTGGGGTTTTAGAAGACACCCAACTTACATGGCTCATAAATTGATTGCAAACTGCTTATTACCACAAATTGAACAAATCATTCATTAACTCTCAATTTTAATTTTAATATTCTTAAAATTATAAAATTGTTTTTTAATAAAAAGGGAGAAACTTATTTAAAAGAAGAATAAAATTATTGAGTATTAAACAAAAAACATACTTCTTATTATAAATATAATAATAACAACATATTTTACTATACATTCTTTGTTTTGTAATTTGATAAAGAAGAATTAATTCTAATATAATAGAGTTAATTTAATTATATAATACTGATTAAAACTTTTTAATTCTATATTTTCTTTTTAAAATTTAATTATTACTTTTTTTAATGTATTGTGATTAAATTAATTAAATTTCTGGTAAATAGTGTTACAGTAATCTTTTTAATGATTTTTATTTTAAATTTATTATTAACTCTTTTATTAATAGAACAAAATAAGAATGGACAAGAGAATCTATTGTAAAAAAATAGATTTTATTTCTTAGTGTCTATTTTTTAAGAATTGTTTTAATTTTATTGTTTAAATATCAAAATAGGTAAATAAAATTAAAACAAGACTAATAGGTATTGAAAAGAAATAGGAGAAGTAAATTAAGAGGAATAGAAGATGATTATAATTTTAAGAAAAAGTCCAATTTATTTTATTTTTTTATAAAATAGAAGGGAAATTAGTAAGAAGAATAATAATAAAAAATAATTATTTTTACTCATATGATTGTTCAATCTTTAAACGGTTGATTCTTATTGAATGAGCTAGTGCTTTAATTATTGAAGAATGATCTTCTGTATCTTTTGAAGACATTTCAACATATTTATAACCTAACCAATCAGTTAAAGTTAATGCATCATCCATTGTAATTTTTCTTTGAGCTTCTAAATCTGTTTTATATCCAATAATAACTCCAGTCACATCACTAAATTTATTATTAATTAAAGGATAATATTTTCGATGAATATTTTGAAATGATTCTTCATTTGTAATATCATAAACAATTAATATTGCTTCAATTGTTCTGCTGATTGCTGGATTTGTTTGTAATAATTTGTTATAAAATCCCCAATCAATCATAATAATTTCATATTTAATCTTTTCCATTTCAAATCGAGTTGTTATCTATAAGATGAATAGGTTTTCTGTTACAAAAAAATATATCTTATCAAACAAACTGCACTCATAAAATCATGCCCTGTGGGGTCTTGTAATGTAAATTTTTTAATAAATGTAGTTTTTCCAACGCTTTGATCTCCTACTATTAACATTCTAATTTTAATATCACTAATACAATGAGTATTCTTTAGTTGATTAATTTATTGAGTATAAGACAAACCATTGTAAAAAATCTCTTGAAATACAATCAAATAATAATTGACAAGAATCATCTTCAGTTGAAATTTCATAAAATTGACAAAGCCTATCTTTTGCAAATTGCTCAGCTTCTTTTCGTGTGATAATACGATCAATTTCTTGATCTTTTTTATTTCCTATAATAATAATTTGTGTATCAATATTACAATATAAAAATATGTCTGGTAACCACATAGTTTTTAAGTCAGTAAAAGATTTTAACTCTGTTATATCGTACATCACTAATATGGCATCATACCCATCATATGGATTATCACATGCATAAAACGATTGTTTACCAACAATATCACTAATAGAGATTTTAATAAATTCATTATCAATTTGAATATATTTTTCTCTCTACTTCATTACACCATTAAATAAAAACGAATGATATAATAAAAATTGACAAACTGTTTCTTCTCCTTGATTTTGATGATCCTCGAAAAAACAATTACAAAGTGTTGTCTTTCCTACTCCAGAACTCCCAACTACCAATAATCTTATTTCCTTTTTACCAATAATTTGGGAACGTGTTCTTAGTGATTTATGTGCTGGTCGAATCATCTTTTATTTAACTAAACACTGAAGTTCCCTTCAAAAAATAATAACCAATTAACTAAAAATTATTTTATAGAAATTATAATTAAATATATTTATGTTATATATGACTTAAATTAAAGAAGCATATTAAAAATAATTTATTATTCAGTCAGTTGGTCATATCCAACAATATTTTTATTAACAATGTCATTAATTTGTCTGTGAAGCAAAGACAAGAGAGCTATCGACAAAAGTAGAACAATGGTTATAGAATCAATTAGAATTGATATCCATAAACACTTTCTTCCTTCTTCAAAATTACATTTGGCACATTGGGTGTGATCATCAGAAATACACCCACACTCCTCACTGTCAAAAGTGATTGAACCAAAACAACATTGTCCCTAAAATTTGTTAATATAACGAAAGGGTATAAGATATGTAGATAAAAGTACCTATCATTATATTTTAAAATCAAACAAACTTGTTGTTCTACACTTAATTTTTGAGAAGAATTCAATAATTTCCAATCAATAGACTCTATACCTCCATTTATCCCTGTGCATAGTGTAATTGCTGTTAATACTGCTGATGTCGATATAAGAAAAATACCAAAAACAAATTTTCTTTTTTGGGATTGAAGGAAGTGGTGTGTAATAATAATAATAATACTAAGAGATATAATCTCGAAGATATGAAATGTGATAGAAAGAGAAAATCCTAATAACTGCCATAAAAACAGAAACTGTTGACCATCATAAATAATTAAATCAGAAATATCTCCAAACATATAAGACAAAATAATTATCAATATTGTCGCAGTTATCTATGTGTTACTTTTTGTTTTAACTAATTAAGGAATAAACTTGTAAATAAATAAAAGGTCTTTTTAAAAAAGAATTTGTTTTAACCAATTTAATATAAAAATGAGAAATCTATTAAGGAAATTGAGAA